AGACCTCTGATTTTGCAATGCACAGAAATGACAGAATCAATGTGTATCTTTAAAATGCCTGCCAGAAAAACAGAAAATGGATTTGGCTGTGCAAGGATGAGTTATGCTTTTTTTTTTTTTTTTACATATGCATTCAGTACCAGTGAAAGCTTGGACATGTAATTTATTTTCCTATTGTTGTAGCCTAAGCACTATTTAAAACTAACAAAATCCACATTTCAGGTGGGAAAATGTTTTAATTGTTTTGCTCAGAAAAGTTTTGGCACTCAGCAGCTGCTTCGCTGTCTGAAGGAAACTTGTGCTTCGCCTAATTCGTGTCTGTGGAATGACACACTGGCTGTATCATCATCATGTTGCTCAAAGGTCACCAGCTTTACAGCCACGCCATTCTTCTTCTGCTTTGTATGCAAACACAAGCAGCGTCCGTGTCACAGACAGGCACCGATTGTTGATGCGGATTATCGCTGCTGTAGAAACGACTCCAGCAGGACAGAGAAAAGGTGCTTGAACTCTGATGTTTAGATGGGAGTGATCAGCAAATGGATTGTGCTGCTGACGCACAGAGGACTGTAAAAGAAACATCTAAATAAGCAGAGAAATGGCACAATAAAATATACTACATTAACCAAGACACAGCGATTGATGGTTAGTGCTGAAGCAGCCAATGAGCTGATTTATAGAGGTTAATTAAATTTTAATACCAAGTAATAAATATTTTTAACTGCAAAGCCACTTGTTCTGTTAATGAAAATAGAAATACGTTTGGTTTGAAATAATAAAATAGCAAATCAGTCACTGCAACAAATGGCATCACGTTATGCTAGTGTCCATTAATTCTCACAATTTTTTTGAATTGCTTTGAAATACCGTAGTTTGTATGATAAATGTTCATTTTTTTTACGTCAGCATTTGACTGAAGTTTTCTGCTTTGTGAGTTCCTAAAGTAACTGCTGCTGTCATTCGGTCGTGTTTGTTTTACATGTGGAACAACTGATATATTTGGTAAACGTCTATTCTTAAATCAAACTTGTTTGTGTCTATCTGCCCCCTGAAGCTTCCTTGGTGACACAGAGACTTCTCCCTGAGGAGCCAAGAAGCAGACGGCTCATGACTTCTGACCAGGACACAAAAGTTGTAGCTGAACCACAGGTGCAGCAAGTTCAAGAGGCAAAGGAGAACTCTCATTTGGTGAGTTCTGCACACAGACTTTCACGTTTCTTTCTCTGCACAGTCATGTACTGAACAGCTGGTTTCCTGCATCATGTGTTCGATATTTTGTTTTGCTGTGTGGCTTCTACAAGTTTTCACAAATCAGGGCGGTTCAAAATTGATCATAACTTTAATTCACATCAAATAAGTAGTGGTTTAGAGTGGCTTACTTTATGGTATAGTAAGTTTATTCATTCCATCAATCCTTTAGCAAGCGTTAATAATGTTTTGGCACCTAGGCTTTTTTTTAATTTAAGAAGTAATATAACTCTGTATATTTACCGTTCTGCTGTTGCACTGGTCAAATGTATGCAACGAACTAAACTGGGTACAAATTGTGCTGCAGAAATTGAGACACTTCAGATTGAACAGTTGCATCTATCTGATAAACTTTGAATGTGGATGTAAAACTAGATCCACACCCAAAAGTTTCAGTTCTTTCATCGCCTGAATGCCCACACAAAGATGAGCCGTAGAAATAACAGAGCATTTCTTTGGCTATTGTTTTATTTTTATAATTGTATCACAGCCGGATGCGTTTGATTTTAAATGATTTCCTGTGCTGATTGTGCAGAAAAGAAACATTGTCAGTTGTGAGAACAAAGTCCATGCTCAATAATCCAGGTATAAAATCCTGGAAAGAACAGGAAAGATGACCTGACTGAAAAATGTTGGATTGTCAGTTGTGATTCAAGAGGCAGCTTTGGGAACTGAATAACCACGACCTGATTTTATTTCTCTTATTTACTTCGTCTGAGGACCTGCTTTTGATCACAGGTGTGGTTTTTGTTAGTTTGTTGTTGTGTTGTGTTCATCACGGCTTCATGCAACTGTCAGAACTAAAAAACAACTTGTTCTGAACGTGCATTGTAGAGTTTATTTTAAACTTGTAGTTTCCAGATATCTTATTTTTTTGTACTTTCATCTGTTTTTCATTGATTTCTGGTTCTTATATTGCAGTTAGCATTGTTTTATTCCACGAGTTATGTAATAAGCTGAGCTGTTATTATTATTGACCAACTGACCAATAAGTTTTTCTTTAAATGTTGATATAAAGAGAAATGGCATCAGTAGAAAATAGAAATCTGCACAAAACTGGACAAATTCAGTTATTTTTGTCTTCTGGTTTGTTTGGTTTAACATCCCAAATCAACTTAAACACTCAGTTTATGTTCATGAAATTTAAAATGCAAGTCTTCAATGTTTCATTTTTTTTCCAGCATCAATTAGGACGTTCCATTTGTTATTTAGTAAATTTAGAGGTTTTAATGATTCAGACTATTGTCAGTTTGTCACTTGGTCAGCCCAGAGACATTTTTACAGATTATTCCAATTGGATTTTAGAGAAGTTAGGGTTGCAGTTTTTAACAAAAAATCTGTTTATTCTCTGATGAAAAGAAAAAAAATGGAATAATTAACAAGATAAGTATTTATTTGTGGCCAGAATTATTCAGAACATTAAGTAAGTTATTATCATGAAGACGTTTCCATTACAATATTCAAATTTACTTTCATTGATGGCCAAATTATTTTATTGTGGCTAAAATTAGTGTTTGGAAATTCAACTAAACTGAAAATAAATAGAAAAATATTGAAGGACCAAATTACTACAGCTCCCATTTACTCGAAAAGTATCTGATATAAAAGAACAAAAACAAGATTAAACCAGACATAAGCAGTAAAATTTAGTTTAAATATAAATTTTTACACGTTTGCTAAAAATTTGACTGAAATTAAATTAAATTTAAATGAAAATCTACACTATTAAAGGACGACATTATTAAAACTCAAGGAAGCGCAAACATTAATAAAATTTAAATGAACCTTTCTGAGATGACAAAAATTATATTTTCACTCTAAATTCCAAATGAAAAGCACATTTTATTTAGTTGGCAGAACAGAGATTTGTTTGGAATGACTTAATTCAACAGGCATTCAACTTTTTCTCATCATCTTTAGTTTCCTACATGTGTCCATTTTACCACTATGCTGTCTGTCCAAACAGGTCTCACTTGTAAATGAGTCTTTTAGGCTCAATGTGATTTATCTGTTTAAATAAAGGTTGAATGGATGAACAAGACGAGGCTAACGGTTAAAGGTAATTGCTAGCTGTCTGTGTCTTGAAAGATGAATATGCTTTACATTTTTTGGCTTGACTGAGTTTGAGAGGTAAATTTTAAATCTGCAAGCTGAGAAACATTCGCCTTGTTTCTATGTAAATCCAAGTTGGCCTTTTTTCATCACAACCTTTGAAACCTATGCTTGTTCTTTAGGAAACCATTCTTTCAAAGGTTAAATCTGAACCTATGTTTCCTCAGCACTGATCGTTTATCACCCTGACCAGATGTTGCTGCAGCCATTGGTCATGTCTTCACTTTGTCCCCAGATGTTGGGCGAATGTGTAATTTGGGTACAAATGGGCTGGCTGGGGTTTCTTAGTTGTAGATTATTCTTTTCTGCTTAATATTATTCATACGTATACAAACGTAAGTCTGACCATCCATTCGTTATTTATTACTATCTCATTAGCTTACAGTTATACCAAATAAAAACAGAAGATTAAATACAGTAAAATGTTTCTGTCAAATGTAATCAATATGACTGTCCTGTACATTTGTGACTGAAATGGCTTTTAGCTCCTTATCATGGCCCATTCACCAAAACAGGTGTCTACAAAACAGTTTAAATGTCTTTTACACATGCCTCATTTCTTTATAGTTTTATTCAGTGGTGGGTACAGCTAACCAAAAAGTTAGCTTCACTAACCGCTAATTTGCTAACAAAAAAAAAAAATAATTTGCTAACTCTAAACCGCTAAAGCAGATTAAAACAAAATTTTCGGAAGCTAATGCCAAAGTGCTAACTTTTCTCATACACTGGTGTCGCTGACACTGTAAGACTAACGTGACAACATTGTAAGTGAACACGACTCAAAACGGTTCATAGACCACAAGCAAAGCATCCATGTCTCGTTCAGAGGTGAGCTTTCAGAAATTAATCTGGTCCATCAGGACCGAAGAGGTGGAGCAGAACTCTGCTGTTCTGAAGCAGAGTGATGCATTCAATGTTTGTCGGACGTCTCCCTTGTGTCATTTACTATAATGAATTAATTCACTTTGGCGATTCTCTTTGTGGTTAACTACTTTTATAAACCAACTACAAAGTTGCAGTGCGTCATCATCAATATTATCTCGGTGATAAATCTGCATTAAAGATGTGTAAAATGTGTGAGAGAGTCACGTCCCAGAGACAGTGTGAGCGTTGCAAAGCATGCTGGCTAGGAATTACATGTGCAATGTTTCTGAGTGTGAGAATGTGTTTTTATGTTGTTTTCCTGTTCTGGTTTTGTTTGGCGTTCATGTCAAAATCTGTAAACTGCCACCATGAGTCGGAGACTGTTTGCGGTAGTTATGTTGGAGAAAAGCACTGCGTTTGCTCTGCATAGCATGGTAGCATAGCATCGCTCTGTGTAAATCACCGTTCTCCTCAACACTTTTATTGTGGAGAAAAGACTTTAGAAAAAGTAGCACACTTGAATTTACCATATTTAAATTTAGTGGAAGGTAATTTTGCCAAAGGTATTCAGAATTATAGAAAATGCTAATCTGCTAAATGGAAAATTAGTTCCGCTATTAGCATGTTAGCGGAACCGTGCCCACCACGAGATTTATTTGTAGCTGTCAGACTGAACTTGATTGTTTTTATAGGTAGTTTTGAACATAATTTTCAAGTCTGAAGGCCTTTAAAGCTTTTTGTCTTTAGACATTGGCTGCTTATTGCATTATTCTCGTCTAATACCTGACCATTTCCACAAGAATCATGTTGTTCAAACCACTTAACTCTGACCCATGAAGCATTCCTTCATCAGACCCACAGAAAGCCCGAAGAACACAATTTCTCATCAAGACCATTTGAATGATGAGAAAGTGTAGCTTCTTGAAGGCAAAGCACAGTAAATCAGACGTGGTTTAAAACACAAACTGTAGATCTAAAAAATAACTTAATTGTTTTATATGTTATTTATGAGCATGCTCAAGTAACGGTCATTTAAAAAAAATCAAAAATATACAGAATAAGCCTTGATTGCTATGTTGCACATGCAGCATCACCATAATTTAGGATTATGTAATTTCTGTGTACTTGAAGCTGTTGTAGAAAAGAAAACCCATCCAAGGAGAAAGTATGGCGTGTTGAGATAAGAAATGCAGTGATTGTGCCAAACGTCTGTGAACTCAGGGAGTGGAACTGAAGCTAAAACATCCCGAGGGTAGAAGCATTCTGCACAGGAGAGGAAATGTTCACGCTAAGATGATTGTGACTGTTTAACTTTTAGACCTCCCTGTGAGGATAATTCTTCCACCTTCTGTCCCAAAAGTCTCCTCAAGTCAGTTGAAGAACCATTGTGATTTATGTTTCTGCTGAGCTGCATGGCCCTGCAGGTTTGATTGATGGCAACACATGGTAGACTTTTGGAAATACCACTGGGGCTAAATGTGGTCACTAGGGCGGGATATCACGCCAACGTACAGCCAAAATCTGGTGAATTATGCCTGTGGCAAGTGAACACACATTTTTAGGCTGCTTGTTGATATTTGAGAAAACGAGTGGCTGGTTAGGTTGAGGGTGAGTTGCAGTAGTTTTCATTTTTCCTGCAGTGGAGCTGAACAACGTCTGTGCCAGTCTGTAGTGTCCAGATGGCAGCACAGGGTCTCCTTTATGGATTGGAAATCAATATTTTTGATGCATTTTGCTCCAGAAGTTTAATTTGAGGAGAAAGATGGTTTTAGTCTCGGTTATATTTCCTTTTTAGAGTACAGTACATTTAAGACATTCGTTCATTAATGATTGAAGTGTTTTTAAGAAAAATGTTTTGGGAAATTTCGATAATCTGATATTTTCTTTATTTACATATAATTTCTCGAGTGGGATGAAGCATGGATGCTGAAGGTTCATTCATAGAACAACTAGAACAATATTTG